AATGGAGCACTGGGTGTTATATGCAAACCATGAATCATGGAACACTACATCAAAAACTAATGATGTAATGTATGGTGATTAACATAACATAATAAATTTTTTTAAAAATGTAAAAAAAAAGAATATATAGTCAATGATATTGTAATAGTGTTGCATGGTGACAGATGGTAGCTATGCTTGTGGTGAGCAAAGCCTCATGCACAAACTTGTTGAATCACTATGTTGTACACCTGAAAATAATGTAACATTGTATGTTAACGATACTCAACACTAAAAAAAAAAAAAAAAAAAGACAGTCTAATCATTGCCCTTTAGATCAGTCCTTGAACAGGGAAGAGGCATTGCAAGAGTGTGTGTCGTAGAAGATAGGAGTGGTCATTTTCACACAAGGAGCTATTTTCAGCAACAGGATCACCAAAAACATTGTGTCTGATGTTTAATGACTGTTTGTATACTGCTTTATCTTATACAGTGTCTTTTCATGTTCATGGTATTTCTCCTTTCTCCTAAATACAAGTAAATCAACAAATAAATCAGTATTATCCCTATTTTGCATATAAGGAAGTTTTAATGCTCAATAAATACGTTAACTGACCAAAATTCATGAATCTAGGAATTGAAACCAGATGTGATGCTACATTTAAAATTTACTCTCATTATGCCAAGGTATGTTCATTTCTAGAAACATCTAGGATTAAAATATGGCAATTATTTCTAAAAGAACTAAATCAATTCACTGGCCATGAGAAACCAAATTCCTTCTTCTCCATTCCAATTTTCCATCACTCATAAGATCTTGCTATGTGTGCTTCATAATGAAGCCACTGTACTTTGCTTCTGTTCTTTTTTTTTTTAAAGGTTTATTTATTTGAGAGAGTGGATGGGGGGCAGAGAGGGAGAGAGTCTTAAATAGACTCCATGCTGAGCGTAGAGCCCGACATGGGGCTCGATCTCACGACCCTGAGCTCATGACCCTGAGATCATGACCTGAGCCGAAACCAAAAGTCAGGCACTTTGACTGCCACCCAGGGTCCCCACTTTGTTTCTGTTCTTATTTGAAGTTTTTTTTCTTATTCATTTAAAATATAGAATTAATTTGATTCTAACCATAACTAATGCATGATCATTGCTAAAAAGATGAAGAATAAGAAACTATTTATTATCCAAAGATAACTATTATTGTTTCCTATTTATTCATAGTTACTGTTTTTAAAATAAATTTATTATAGCCGTGAATTGCAGTGTACTGCAGAGATTTTAGTCTTTGGTTTATGCATATTCATTTTCATACCATTGACATTAGCACATTAGATTGGTCTCCTTTTTTAATTTTTTAAAATTTTGTTAGATTTTTTAAATTTTATTTCCAGAATAGTTAACACACAGTGTTACATTAGTTTTAGATGTACAATATAGTGATACAACAATTCTATCCATTACTTAGTGCTCCTTTTTAATTCATCCTATCTAGTGATCAACAACTTTGTCTCCTTCTTAAAAAGTTAACTTTGGAGTTTGTGATTTTTTTTTTATAGTGTTTGTAGAGTTCCCACATTTCCTTGTACTATGTCTTAGGTAGTATTTATGTCCACCTCCTAGTTTGTGCCACCACGTTAGTATTCCTGAATAAATACGGAAAGATCAGCATTTCACCATCTGTACATCGCCCATTCCTCTTTATTACCACTCTCCTGCTGCCACACCTTCCACCTTTGTCCCATCACGTATCTTTTAGCTTGCACTCATTTGATTCCCACAACACTGACCCTGCTCCCTTCTTGCAGGTTTTTTGGCACCTCTTTCTTCAGCTAGTTTGCCCTCCTTTGTCTCTGTATCATGCTCAAATTCAGTGCTCCTTTTTCTGTTGGAGAAAATGAGTCCTCTCATCTCTAACCTCTCTGCTTGGCCTCAGTCCTTCATCCTATTGCAAACATATGGGCAGGCTGCACACACGCCCCTCTCTGTGTAGTGCACCCACCGAAACACTGCATTCAGATGCACATAATTTTTTTTCTGAAATCAGGCCAGTTGTTCAGTGTTCACCATTATACGCAGATACTTGATGCAAAAGAAAAAAGACAATAAAAAACAATGACAAGAGCAACTAGCCAATCAGTGTAATGTCCCTTCTCTCTGTGTACAATCAGCTCCAGCTGTAGGCCCTTTATCTTGAGAGTTCATAGGATAATGCACACACATAATTAACCCAAATAAACCCACTTTCGTTGAAAACATTTTGAAGACTTCAGCACAAAAGAGCACTTTTTGGTCCAGATCCTGTACTATTCTGAATTTTTAAAAAGACCACACAGAAGCCTCATCAACAGTACCCTAATTAAACTCATCAGTTCACAGATGTTTACAGGAAAATGCTCAGCAAAAAATTTCACCAAGAATTCCTGTTTCCTGAGAAGAGAGATGTATGATGACAATAGTAATAATAATAAGAGCTAACATTAATAAGTATTTTAATGTTCCTGCCACTTTACTTAGATGAATACATTTACATCAATAACTCTTTAAGGTAGCAATTATTATCATACCTATTTTACAGATGCCAAAACTGAGGCTAAGAAGATTAAGTTGTCCAAATTAACACAACTAGGAAGAGCTGGGACCAGGATCCTAGTCTGCATGACTCAAAAGCATGTGCTCTAAATCACTATGTTCTGTTGCCAATATCGTGCCACCTGTTCCAAAACTAAAATCCGTGTCAATGTTCCAACACTTTGTAGTCACCAAATAAAAACCAACTGAAATACCACTATTATAAACCACCATTATCCCCACTTCTATACTCTACCCTTTGCTCAACTTCTACTTTCTGGTCTAAAGAGTTCTCTGGTGGAATCTGAGAATCTGCATGCAAAGCATTCTCAATAAACATGCTTGAAGCTTGAAGTGTGTCTTACTAGAATATGAGATTCAAGGGAGCTGGGGAACTCCTCTATCTGAAAGAGGAATACAGATGAGTGGTTAAAAGCCTGGTCTCTGGATCAAACTGCTTGCTTTTAATCTGCTTCTACCACTATTAGATCAATGACTTTGGGTGAGTTTCTTAACCTCTTAGAGACATGCTTTTCTAATCTGTAAAGTGAAAGTAATTATATTAGCTACCACACAAGTTATTGTGAGGTTCTATTATGTTAATGTATGTAAATGACTTAGAATAGTTCCCAGTGTGTAATAGAGGCTACATAAGTTTCTGCTATGGTTATGATTTTCTTTCTTAATATTTATTACTGTATCTCTAATATGTAGAACCATGACTTATACATAATAGGTATGCATTCGATCAATGGATGAACATGTGCTAGACACTGGAAATACAAAAAGATGTAAGAGAATGTCACTTGTCTAGAAGAGAACTATAGGAACCAGTGGAAAAGTGTGTAGCTTAATGGAGAGTTCATGATCAGCATTTATACACATCAGTCAGGTCCAGTTCCCTCCAGTTCTGGGGTCCCTAACTTGGGCTACACCATCAAGGATTAATTGGCACATGGAATTTATAGAACATGAGGCAAAAAGAAAAAAAAAAAACAATGTTGCAAGGTATTCTGTGACTAAAGCTCTAATTAAATAGTCCAGAGAATAGGGGATCCAATCTAATACTCTTTGGCACATTTATTTTAATTCTGCATCATTTCAGCAGAAATTAAAGAATCACTCCATTAAAACAATAGTAGCCAAATAAGAATAATTTAGATATTTAAAATACCTTGTAAATATTTTAAAACCATCTAAGAGAAGAGCTGCAAAGATTCCACTATAATGCCACTGCCATGAAGTAAAAATTGCACTTGCATCAGGCTCTTCTGTCCAGTAAAAAGGAGGAGTTGCTGTTGAAGTGGATGGGAATAGGGTACCCTTGAACTTTTTTACCTGCAAAGCCCTGTTTTCCAATATTAACCTTGGAAAATCAACTTGTCAAATAACATTTTGATGGGAACAATTTTTATTTATTTTTATTCTTTTAGAGGGCAGGGGAGAGAGAGCATGCAATAGTGAGAGAGAGAATCTTAAACAGGTTCCATGCCCAGCATGGAGCGCAACATGGGGCTCAATCTCATGACCCTGAGATCATGAACTGAGCTGAAATCAAGAGTCAGAGGCTTAACTGACTGAGCCACCCAGGCCTCCCAAGGGGGACAATTTTTAAAGTGAAAAAAAAAACAAAAACAAGTTTGGTGTAACTGTAGGAAAATTGGGGCTCTCATATAATGTTGGTATAAGAGTAAACTTGTTCCTCTCTCCACAGGGCACTTTAAGAATAGGTATCAGAAGACTTATAATATTCATATAGTTTGGTCCAACAATTCCATTTGTATGATTTATCCCAAATAAATCATCAGAGTTGTGTGCAAATACAGAAAAAAGTTTACTGCAACATTATTTATTGTAGAAAAAATTAGAAGCAAACTAAACATGCTTTAGTAAGAACCAACCAAGAGATTGGTTCAAGCATTACATTACAACCATGCAACACAATGCTCTATAGGAAACAAAGTCATGTTGTTGCTGTATGCTATGATGCTATGATATGGACCAACAGTCACTCTAGATTTAAAAAGCAGTTTCCAAAACAATATGTACAATATGGTCACTATTACTTAAAGAAATATATCCCAAATAGAGAGACTTTGGTTAGTTTTTGTTCTTTTTTTTTTTAGTTCAGTGAGTTTGTAATTGGAAAAACCATAGCATAGGAAGAGAGACATTTGACTCCTCTTTTCTTTTTTCCACAAATAGTATTCTGATTTGCATGATGATACATTGCTTTCTCATAGAAAAAGACAGAAGCAACTTTGTTTTGTTAGCATCAACAGCTTATCTGCTTTTGCTAATGCCATAAATCCATCTTTTCTGTCAAAGTATGATGTAGATACTGGATTGTAATCATTGCTATTTAATCTTTAAATAATTCTGTATATCCTTTTGCCTGTTTCTTTTCACCTGCATAGATTTGACTCTAATATTGAATATTATGTTTCTTTCAGGTAAACAACTACAGTTTAGAAGAAGTGACGCATGAAGAGGCAGTCGCAATATTGAAGAACACATCCGATGTCGTTTATCTAAAAGTTGGCAAGCCCACCACAATTTATATGACTGATCCTTATGGTCCACCTGATATTACTCACTGTAAGTGCCATGCTCAGTGTCCCTCTGCCAGATGTATAAAATTGGAATTCTGCAAAATTTGACAAAGTACTCTGTTTGCATCTTCGCTCTTGTTTAACCTATGGGAATAGTTCCAAGGGATGCTGTGCTGCACTCCTCGGTTTGAAGGTGGGACACCCTGATGGGTTAGAAAGTCCGCCATTTAAGAAAGGCTTAATGAGGTATGTCATGGACAGTGTGATTACAGTAACGTAAGAGCAACACCTTTTTAAAGGCTATTTCTCAAGCCCCTAAAACATGATAACTCTCATGCCATAGTATCCCCCTTCCTAGTTCAAACCTATATAGTAGCAAATGAAGAAAGAGAAAGACTGGCAAAATAGACCTCTGCTCCCTCCTGGGGGAGAGGATCTTGCACTTGCATGGTGGCACTATGATCCTCAATCACCATCACCATAGCTCTTATCTTTACCTGAATATTATATTGGCAGGGAAGCCAGGGAAAGCTCTCAGTCACTATGGCAGTAGAAGTGAGTTGTGGGTGGGGGTTTCTAGGCCAACAACTAACTAGAGATGCTGTGTTGAGTCCTATAAAATCCACTCCTACATAAGCCCCATGTTTCCTTCTTTTTTTAATAGGTCTGCAATAACTTTAAGGTTCTGTCTCTGGGGACTAGATTCAGAAGCAATTTTTTTTCTGTGAGTTTAAGGGACAGTTTTGTCAAAATCAGTAAGCTCGCTCATTCTGGAATTTTGAGAATTTTGAGAAACCAGTTTGTGAGATTGGGAACTCGCAATATCTTCAGGACCTGCCATTAATTAGTACTCCAGTCTTAAGCAAGTCACTTAACCTCTCTTAGATTTAGATGTTTCTCTTGAGAGAAATTTAAAGGTTGAATAATTTTGTTACCCGCCCATTACGTTAGCTATTGCTTTTCTTAATGATGATTCAAAAATGACTTGCCCCCAAACTACATCTTTTTCCAAGCATGTGGTAAGCTGAGATCAGCCTTACCTTAGGATATGAAAGAATTTTAACTTTCAAAGTTTTCCAAACTCGATAAATTTAGAAAAATCAGCTTTGAGACTCTGAGCAATTTCATGAAGGATATATAAGGTCAACGTTAAAGAGATAAAAGCAAGAAAACAAAGCTTGCTATTCAATTCAAAAAATATATATTGAGTAACCTCAATATGTATGACACCTTATAAGGTAATATGTGGGATACAAAGGAAATGCAATCATGGCTTGGAAGAAAGGCTAATTCACATATAAGAATAACAGCAGTATTTGGCAACATAAGAGGGATGTACATGCCATGGAAGTGGTAAAAGTGAATGTGCTTTGGGTACTCAAAGGAAAGGGATACTACCATCTTTGGACAATCATAAAACTCTTTATGGAAAGGGTGACATTTGAATTGTATCTTTAAGAATGGAAGAAATTTCAGTATCAAAGATGTGTTAAGAGACAGAAATTGTAGGTTAACTGATGAAAGGACAAATATTGGGAAGAGTTGTCTTTGTTGGAGGACTCTAGGATATGTGTAAGTGGGATATTGAAATGGATCAGTCTGGTAAGGATGACAAAAGGAAAAGTTTATATTCAATACAGTAGCAGCAATAGGGAACACTTAAGCAGGAGAAAAGCATTATCAGAGTTGGATTTCTCAGTCTATAAAATGGATTTCTAGAGAGGGGTAGGAGGCAGGAGACCCAGGCAGGAGGGGCTTTTATACATTCAAAAGAGAGAAAGGGAGATGAATTACTGTGGAGGACTAGAAAGGAAAGGCCGGAATCCTCGGCCCTTCTGGGGTAGAAGTACAGCATCTTTGGGGATTAAAGCCTTTTTTTTTTTTTTAAGATTTTATTTCTTTATTTGACAGAAAGAGCACAAGCAGGGGGAAGTGGTAGGCAGAGGCAGAGAGAGAAGCAAGCTCCCCGCTGAGCAGGGAGCCCGATGCGGGACTCGATCTCAGGATCCTGGGATCATGACCTGAGCCGAAGGCAGTCGCTTAACCAACTGAGCTACCCAGGCACCTGGGGATTAAAGTCTTATATAAGAACTTGCTCCTAGGAGCCTTCTAGATTTGATGATTGAATATTAATTATGTGAAAAGAATGTGAGCTCTGCAATTAGAAAGCTAACATTTTTATTTCAATAGAAAATTAATCATCTTTCTGAAAATGCATGTGCTGGGTCTCTCCTCCAATTCTTCTCTTCACCTAATTATACAAATTGGGTTTGTAGATATAAATGTTATTCCATCTTTCTAATCCTAAAGGTCACCATGTGCTTGTACATATTAAATGCAAACAGACAGTAACTCCTCCCTCTTGGGAGGCAAGAAAATACTCGGCATGTAGCAAAGTCTCCCTATTTTTAACAGAACTATAGCATGACACATTGAGTCACCCACATAACAGGTTTCTTCTCTTTTCTCTTTTTCACCCCTTAGCTTATTCTCCACCAATGGAAAACCATCTACTGTCTGGCAACAATGGAACTTTAGAATATAAAACTTCCCTGCCGCCCATCTCTCCAGGAAGGTACTCACCGATTCCAAAGCACATGCTTGTTGAAGACGATTACACCAGGTCAGATGTGCTTATTGGTTAATTGGATTTGTGATCATTCCTGGGAAGAAACGGCATTTGCCTAACATGTCAGCCATTGCTTTGGGGGCTAACGAAAGTTTCTGAGCACCACTGAAACTCACCATCGTCTTGTCTCCAGTGGAAATCTGCAAATTCTCATAAATGTGTATCATTCGGAATCAAAATCACTAATTCTTTGTGAGAAGTGGTACCGTATACGTACTCATCACTTTGCAATTTATTAAGACTCACACATGATGCCGTTTGAGCTCGACAGCCATTTTGTCAGATAGTTAACTTGAGAGGAGGTGGTGAGAGGTAACTGCTAAGGAAGTAGCATACCAATATTACATCTCTGGTTAGTGCAGCAGTCAGAACTGAAACCTTTGTCTTTTGATGCTAAATTCCATGTTTTTGACACCAATGGCTACCCACAATTCAATGGAGTTGGGAAGTAAGTCAACCCTTCCTTGTAGCACAATAGCTACAAGTAGAAAGAAAAGGGATGAAATTAACTGTAAATGGTTTGAATTTAATATATGCTGTTAATTCCAAAGGGGAACAGGACAGGATTTTAGGATAGAGCACAGAACCACATTGCTAATGCCATGAAGTAAAACCAATTTTAAGCAGCACACCTATGAAAAAGGTGTGACAGTTCACAAAGCAGACTAGCTTCCTTGACTTAATTGTCACCATTAAGGATATGGGAATAAATAAGAATAAATGTACATTTTCTTATCTTTAAATATTTTTGTTCCAAAGTAATGTATGCTCATTGCATTTGGTGAAATAATGCGAAAATGTTCGAGAAACAAAACCCTCTCCCAAACTCCTGCCAGAGCAACTATCTTGAGGTTCCCAATGTAACATCCTGGCATGAACCTTTCATACTTTCTGCATGTTCATATAAACCCATACAAATTCACAGTCAGATATAGATTGGACTTGATACTGTTTTTACAAAGTAAGCTCATATTTTAGAAATTGCTCTGCAACTTGCTTTTCTCAGTGAACAATACTTTTACCTGAAATGAGATTACATAAAGATATGTACACACTTTTTCTGGAAGTGTTTGTGTGTAAAAATGATAGAGATGGACCCTTTTGGTTTAATTTATCTGCCTGTCTAATGAAGCCATTTGTCAGCCTTTAAAAAAAAAAAAATAGTGGAGGCTTCCTGCCACTTAACTTCCCTCACCGGTACCCAGGCCTGCTTTGGTCTTTTCATTCCTTTGCTATTTCTTTTTAAATGATTAAGCATTTTCCATTTATTTTGCAATTTCAGGTTTGCTGAAGTAGCTTGTTACATCTTTAGCCAAGGAATGGAATGTTTAGATGCTGCAAATGTGCATCTGTGGTATAAATCAAATATAAACTTCTTCCTATGCTGAAACATCTAATCTCTATGCTCTTAATTAAAATGAGGGCTGCAGCAAAGATAATCCTCATGACTCTCTAAAGAATTGTATAAATATAGGCACTTTTATTCACCAGAGCAATGATCTATTTGCTTTCATTCTATCACTAATATTTATATGATTTTAATTTGAAAATATCATTTTATCTTACTAGACTCCACATGGAATTAAAATTGATTAAATCCACTTCATAATCCAAGCCCTTTGCTAGCTGTTTTACATACACTATTCATTTACTTTTCCCCAAAACACAGAAAGAAGGGCTGTCACTCCTATTTTATAGATGTAGAAGTTGGAGTTCAAAGATGTTAAATAACTTGCTTATAGTCACACTGCTTTTAGGTAGAAAAACTGCGGGTGCCCTGCCAGCTACAAAATTCTGGCTAAGAAGAAACATTGTAAATTTCTCCTTATTTTTAAAATGAAAACCAAGTCCTATAAAACTGTTCATCACAGAAAAATGTAGCTCTAAAGGAACCCAAGCATTTCAGTAAGTTCTAAAGGCAGTTAGATCAGAGTTAAGACCTATTTCTACCATTGGTTAACTATATGACCACTGGAAAATTATTCAATCACTGCAAACTTGTTTCTTCATCTATATAATGGAAATAGTAATCAAAGTTTTCTTAACAGGTTGTTGTAATGATTGAATGACATGATACATGCAAAGAACTTATAGCAGAGCCTGACACATCATGAATATTAAATGAGTGTTATCTATTTACAGCAACTATACTTGTTATAATTCTTACTCTACCTAAGATGTCACGTGGAATGTTTTAACAGATGGTGTCCTAGGAATAGAGTCTGCCTATTCCTACAGGGCTATGCCTTGGTATTATAGTTCTTGTCCCACTTCCTCCCTTGTTCTCTGGCAGGACAGTTTCATTAAGAACTAGAATCTTCTGAATGGCTGGTGCCTGGCAAACTCGTGAAGTAGATTACATCAGTTTAAGCACGCACACGCGCACACACGCACGCGCACGCACATGCACACGCGCACACATGCCTCTCTCACCTTTGCTTTGTCCTCTCACAGGGGGCTGTGCTGTAGGCACTGCCATGGATCTCAGGGTTATTTGCTCAAAGGCAAATTCATTGCCTTGTTCATCAATATTTATTGGACACTTCCTACTAGACAGCAGGCACTGCACTAGGAATGCAAAATTGAGTAAGAAACGACAGCTCTAAGAACTACCAAATTGGGACAAAAATATAAGTAAATCAGTGGATCCCTCAATGCCTATTCCCTGATTATGCAGACCCCCTTTGTGAAGTTTTCTATAAAGCCTAATAATTTTTTTTAATTCTGAGATTATATATCTTCATATCAAAATGTCATTTTTTTGTGTGTGGTAGTAAATGGCAGATATTTACTTCACCATATCCTTACTTAGAAAATGAAATGTGTGGGGCACCTGGGTGGCTCAGTTGGTTAAGCGACTGCCTTCGGCTCAGGTCATGATCCTGGAGTCCCGGGATCGAGTCCCACATTGGGCTCCCTGCTCGGCGGGGGGTTCTGCTTCTCCCTCTGACCCTCTTCCCTCTGGTGCTCTCTGTCTCTCATTCTCTCTCTCAAATAAATAAATAAGTAATCTTTAAAAAAAAAAGAAAATGAAATGTGGGCAACTTTCTATTAGTTCTCATCCTTTAAAAGGTCTGTAAAATGTCAAAGTGTGGCAACTAGTAACAGCAACAAACCAAATTAGATCCGTTCTAGGAAGTGCTCTGGTGCCACCCAAGCAGAGTTCCCTAGCTCTGCGGGAGTTACTTAGTAAATATTGGTAAATGATTTTGAGTTTTATATGAATACCCAAGGAAAAGCCTGTGGAATCAAAGTTTTAAAGAGGAGATACCTCTTAAGTTTGAGTTTGAAAAAATGTGTAGGCAGTGATCAGAAAGTCAAGGGATCAGGAGGGTGTTCATGGTAGGGGATAGCACATGCAGATTCATAGAAGAATGTGAAATAGAATAAAATGAAGCAACTATTACAGCTTGAAAAATACAACTCGTAAAAGAGAGTGGTTCCTACCTTTAAGTTGTCTTTATATTCCTATCCTTTCTGTCATAGGCAACCTACTTGTAAAATTTAAAATACATACCGTATTTTAGTAAATAAATAGTAGTAAATAAATTTAGTAAATAAATAGTAAAAACAAAAAGATCACTACTATGCCCTGTTAACACAAAGTCCTTTAATATATATGATTGCCCTTATTTATATTATGTTATTATTCTTGGTTTTTACAAATAACAAAAGTGCTCAAAGAGTTTAAGTAATTGCCTCATATCATACAGCAAGCAAATAGCAGCATCAAAATTTGAATTCAGGTCTGTGTTCCATGGTTCATCCTCACATCACACCCTGTGCCTCATTTTATGCATTCAGTTTCCACAGAGAAATGTTGAATAAACAGAATTGGGTTTATATCAGAAGATTGGTTTCTAGTCCTGCTTCTACCAACTTGCCATCTAGATGACCCTGAACAAGCCATTTAGTCTCCATGAGTCTTGATTTTCTCATCTATAAATTTGGGACAAAGGGTCTTCTAATTTCCTCATGGAATTGTGAAATATCAATGTGATAATATGTGTTAAAGTTGCCATTTTTAAAGGGCTAGATAAATTTATTATTATCCTAAAGTGTTATAGTAGCTTATATTTGAGGCCTACTTTGAATTTTCCTAAAATAGTAAATCGAGGTAATTGATCTCTAATGATGGGACTTAGACTGAGCGGGAAACATTTCTGTGAAATAGCAACCTTTCAACAACCCAAAACTCAAATTGGCAGCTTTTTATTCCATGTGTTCATGATCTCTTAGTCTATTGTAAGAAACATTTCTCTCTTTTCCTAAAGCATATTCACTTTTTTTTTGGGGGGGGGAGATATAGTAAGAACTTTTTAAAGGAATTTTGATTAGAAAAATGCTACACTAACTTAGTTGGAATTTTTTTTAACTCTTTCTCACTATTTGAGGAAATGTATACCTGAGAAAACTGGGAAATGTTTTTCTGTTGATTTAGAGAAAGCACAAAAAAAGACACCCTTTTTGGGTGGATAAAATTTTCTTAGTAGAAAGTCTGTTGAGTGCCCTATAAATCAATGTTCATTGTGATCTAGATATCTGGTCTTAGATTGTTGGTAAACTATTTTGGAAAGCTATCACTGTGCTGCTGAGATGTGTTTTTGGCTCAAAGAATTAAAGGCTCTCAGAATTGGAAGGACCAGCACTTGAATCTAGAGTCTAATATTCCTCCTTCTGATGGGTAAGGAACACAAACCCAGAATGATATGTTGGCTATCCTTAAGTCCCATAACTTGTATTAGAATCAGATATAGAACCTATGTCTTCAAATACCAAGTCTAGTGCTTGTTCTATTTCTCTGAGCTGGTGTTCACTTTTGTTGTTACTGTTGTTGTTCTTGGATGGAGTAAGAAGGTAAGAATTATGAAACCCATGAACAAGCAATGACCACCTGTGAACAGTACCCACTTTGTGTATTACCTGCAACTATGGATTCTACCTTTACTGGGCCAAGTGGTAACCTGATGACCCAGAAGAGGTGCAAACCACAG